TCGCGTCATCAGTTACATGCCGATGGCAGTCTTCTTACATTGCCGTGACAGTCGGGACCATTCAGGTGTGTATCAAAAGGAGAGGGCCTGCTTTTTGAAATACCGATTTGTTTCTTTTGGAAAGTTCTTTCTGTCAGCTTTGATTTTCATGGTGACTTCTAAGATTTTTCTTTTAGACATTGTCCTATGAAGTAGAGTTGACAGAAACTGAAACCAGTCGGTTAATGACATGCAACTCAATATGTTAAATATAACAATTAAGATTACCAAGTAAAATGAGGTCCAGGCCTTGTAATCAAGCTTGTTTTTCTGAGCCTTGAATATAATTGCTCTTTTATTTCCATTCATGATTATTAATCTCGCGTGTTCTAGAGTCAGAAGTCCTGGTTCCTCCTTCAGATTCGTTTTCTTCAGTTACCTAATATTAAAGTTATTGATCATTATGCTTCAGTTTCTTCATCTGTGAAATGGGATAGTAACCGAAAATACCTAATGGTATAGGATTTTCATGAGTAATAAATAAGATTAGACATGTAAAGCATTAAACTAGATAAATGTTAGCTGCCGATATTATCATTAATAGTAGTAGTATTATTACTCTTAGTACCACTCTACCCCCGGTTGGTGGTAGACAACCTAGAGATACATTTGTGACAGGTCTCTAATTTTTGCATGACATCTGTCTGTCATCTCAACAGGGAGAAGGAAGATAAAACTCTTTTTTTTCTTATGTTTTTAGTATCTTTGATATCATCCTACTCTTATACATGCATTTTGTTCTTTCTTTCATTTATTGAGTAATATTTGAGTAATACTGTTACTCAAATTTATTGAGTAATACTGTTTTCTGGGCTCTAGCCAGCACAGTCCTGCACCCTGGAACTTGACAGCAGAGTGTCTCATTATGCACCCGTGTGCCTTAATTAGCGTGATCCTTTGACTGCCAAGATGGTTACCTTACCTAAGGAAGCATTGCCTACTTTGGAGTGAGACTTGGCCTTGACTCCTGACTAAGCTGCTGAACTGTGCAGTAATCTGTGCAGTAAACCGCGACTTTACCTTAGTCTTAGTTTTTATCATTAAAACGAGAATAATACAATCTAATTTATAAGGCGGTTCGAGGATTCATTCAGGTAGTGTTAATAAAGTACCTGGAATGATGGAAGTATTCAGTAGGTGCTCAATAAAGGGTAGTTCAGTTCTGCTTCTCTACTTTTTCTCTCCGTAGGCTGCCAAGAGAAACTGGCAGTGGCGGGTTGGAGCAAATACAGTTGTCGTTTTTTTGTTTTATAATAGATTCTTTAACCGTTTTTTCCCCCCCGCTGAAATCAGGACATCCCCCTTCAATGAATTGTTTTAAGTGGATTCTTTTAAAGCTTGTTCTTTTGCATTAATCTGTCATCAACCCCTACCTTTTTTGTGGGCACAAAGTGATAAACTTTGATTAGTCATTCTCGTTCACATTTTTGGTGACTGCCATAATCATAATTTAAACTGTAAATCCTGGAAGAGCACAAAATAAGGACATCGGAAGGTTAGAATACAAATATATTTTGGAACTATGAAAAGGACATTAGAGATCTAATCAAGCTCTTTTCTTTTTCATACCAAGAAAGAGGTCTGGAGGATGAAAGTGCCCAAGTTCACATGACATGGCGAAGTTGGGGCCTCCTGGTGTCTAATGCCCATTCCACTGATTTATGCTGATGTTTGTGTTTTGGTCATCAGCTCAAGTTCAGTCAAGAAGAGCTGTCACTTAACAAGGCTTCTATTTTATAGTTAGTTTACTTTCTGGGAAATGGATCCTAGAAAGTAGATCAGTGGTTACGATACTCAGCCCAATGAGCGATCAAAAATGGCAAAATCGAAGAATAAGCTATGGAAATCAAAACACTCTTGATTTGACACTTTCATTGTTGGGTAAGAAAACCAGCTTCATGACCTTCTTATTCCTTGGGTTTATTTATTTATTTGTGTCTACTCCACCTACTTCCTAATGGCACAGACACTTACATTTTAATTTTTTTAAATTAGAGGTTACAAATGAACTGAAAAGATCAGTTTAATGGAGTAAATTAGAAATGGTAAACTTTGTAGACCCTCTCTGAGAACAGAATGTTTATTTGACAAAATATGTGGCTTTTGAACTCTTCGAATTACCAAAGCATCATGAATAGTTATACCAATGTAAAGTAGCTTATAATAATCCCAACTGCTAATAAGTTCAGGTTGTGGGGAGCAGTACATATTAGGCCAGGGTTGGCCAGAACATGGTACCTGTGCCATTGGGTCCTGTACCCCGTTCTTAGTAGCCATCAGCAATCTGCCAAGACCCAGTTTCCTTCTGAATCCGTACAGAGCCTGAAAATCCTTCTGAACGCATGGCATCTGAGATCGATACCAGCTGATCAGAGTTTGTATATTGGTATTTATTTGTCACCCTTTTATGAAATCATGACAAATGAAAGCAAAGTACTGACTTTCTTTGGAAGTTAAATAAGTGTAAAAAGGATAGAAAGGTTTTTTTTTTTTCTTTTAATTCCATAAAGCATTACTGAAATTTTAAATTTCATTTAGGATTGTAGTGTTAATATACTCCCCCTATTAGAAGTCAGCGGTTGGTATTTTAGCAGAAATATTTATGTTTTAGGCAAGGCCCTGGAGTTAGGGGGTATAAAATGGCTTTGCTAAATTTTTGTACCACATTTAGCAACTTATAGGCAAAAGGTAGGCTTCTTTACTTACTGGAAGTAGCTGTCAAAAGCAAACCAAAAATCTCTGTGTAATATTCTTTATCAGCTGGTTCTCTGGTGTTCTTGTCACTCAGTGATCGGCAAAATCCAAGTTCTGGAAATTCACAAGATTGCTTACTGCTTTAGTTTCATTAAAAAAAAAAAAAAAAGGTTGAGACACCCCCCCCTCCCCCCGATTGCAGTTATTTTGGCAAAAGAAAGGGGAAAAGGGAAATGTAAAAATAAACTTTAAGATAAGGAAGTAGGAGAGAGAACTATCTTAAACATTTAAAAATTACTCGAAGGAATTCATTCATTCAGTGATTTAGCAAACATACATGCTTTCTACCTGCCAGGTCCTGTGTCAGGCACGGTGACACAGAAATGTAGGACAAGGCCTCTCAACCTGTCTCACATCATGACACACATAGAAAACAGTAATATGAAACAGCAATCATCTGCTAGGGAGTTCCTGCCACATCAGGCCCTCTGGGCCATGCTGTGGGCCGAGGAGGTGAAAATAACCCTTGGAGTTATACTCATTGGGAACATTTGATATAAGAATACTTCCTGCCCTTGGGAAGCAGACAGTCAGAGGACACAGGCATGTAAGCTGCCCCTGACAACGATTGCTTCCAAAACTGGTTTTGTACCAGAGATGGAAGATAGTGGATGGGCCCGGTTATGGGTTTGATTCACAGATTGCTGAAAATAAAGGATAAATCAGCTACCTTCGAATGAGATGGTGGAACTTTGTATTAACTTCTTTCTCAGATAATGTCTCAAATCCACTTTGCTTCCAAAAGAACGCCTTCGATTCCAAAAGAATATGCAAAAGGTGTTTTGATTTAATTCAGTGCTTGACGTGAGAAAGGATACAATCAGGACGGTCTCTCCCCTTTTGTGAACACTAACCCTCAGGCATCCTCCTGCCTCTCCGTGGACCACGTCGAGAAGCTGAGGATGACGAGGAAAGAATTAGGAGAAAAAGTGGGAAAGAAAGATGTTATGGAATGAGTCATACTAGCTTAGAGCAGAATAGCCTGATGTAATCATACCTGTGATACTCTCTACTTTAACTGTTAGATTATATCCAAATAGAGCTGTGCTTGGGCTCCTCAAGTTGCAGAGGTTAAAAAAAAGTTTGTATCATAAAGGAATTCGCTCAATGAACATCACTGACTAGGTGGTGGGGTGGGGTCGGGAGGCGTGGCCCCTACTTCAGGGAGGTATAATAATAGTACGGGGTGAGCAGTATTATGGAAGAACAGAGGAGAAATAGCAGGTTGATCAAAAAACACTCCCTGAATGAAGGGCATGCTCCATCCAGCCTTGAGGTCCTAAGAAGATAGCCAGGAAAAGAAAGATTCCCAAAAGTTTTTTTTAAAAGGGGGTAAAATAAGGTGAAATTTTTTTAAAAAGCCAAAGCTTTGAGTTAAAAAATAATACGAGAAAAATATCACTGAAGAGACGGTTGTGAAATTCTTCTAATGCTCTAGCGGTGGTCCCTGTATACGTGCTTATTCGTAAGATGGGTCGGAAGCATGCATTACTGCCTCCTGTTAATGTGTTTAAGCAGAAAACGTCTTCCATATCCCGCTTTTCACTTATCAAGCTGAACTTTAATTTTAGTTATCTCCAGCACTTTTCATCCAGAAGAATGCCAGAGCAGCTGGGTTGTTGTGTATTTTCAAATTCCTCACCCACTCCTGAAATGCATCTCGTTAAGCCAGGCTTTAGAGCAGCGGAGTTCTCCACGCCCTTTCTTCTAATTTTAATGGCAGCAAAATCAAGAATACTGTGCCACTTAGCGGTCTTGAAAACATCTGATGACTCTTTTCAAACCTTGGCTTGTAGGGAGATATAACTCTTGCGAATAGCACGTGTAGGTGCCACGTCAGTCGGAACTGCTGGAACCAGCTTGGAAAGCTTCGCCATGGTACTGCGATCTTAAGTAGCAGAGGAAGATTACGAAGTTTAATTTTATATTTATTGAATGTTCTTAACTACATAAAATCGTTTTCATTGTTTTTCCTTTGTTAGTTATTATTGAAATTATTATTAGAAATCAAATCACTCCTTGCCGAGCCCGGGGCACTTACTTTTGTGGTTTTGATGTTTTGTGTTTAAAATGTAGTGATAATGTACCTTATACAGAGAGGGAGCAAAATTGCCACTTCTTCATCCGTGTCCCATCCGGGCTGCTTATTGTCTTCTTTTATAATTAAATGCTATTTTAAAAGTGGTCTGTGGCTGTTTGTGTTACAGGACCGCCCCAGGACATTTGACATGCACTCCCTGGAGAGTTCACTCATTGACATAATGAGAGCCGAAAACGATTCGATTAAAGGTAATTTTTAAAACGTAACTATTTGATTTTAATAAAAGTTAAAATTTTGTGTTATCTATGTAACCTGGTGAGCAATATGGCAAATATTATGGATTCATATTTTGTCATATAGTCAGTTCCATCAATTTTATGCATGTACCTCTTTTTGTTTAAAAATCAAACATATTTGATAGACATCTGTTGTAAGCCCACCACAATATTAATTAAGAGAACTGGGAGAGTACTAATTGCTTAGGGTTGGCAGTTAACTAGAAAGACATGAACCATACCCCTCATTTTTTTTTTATATATGTATCTCAGGCAAAAACTACTCGGTGCCTTAAACCTGTCTTTCCACCCATGACAGTGACTATACATTAGGAAGAGTTCAAATGTTTACAGATTTTTGGCCAAGTTCACATTTTAAAAGATGGCCGACACTTTCAAAGTTCAAATGTAGTTTTGTTCTTGAAATATTTCCTGTGTTAAGAAAAATAATAGTGCTATTCCTACTTGGATTCTAGTCTCGATTCTATTACTAACTACCTGTGTTATCTTGAATAAGACATTTGAATTTGAGTAGGCCTCAATGTCTTCATCTTTATAAGAAGGGATTTAGAATCACCCTTACAATAAGGGATTTCTAATGGGGAGCTTTAAAAATAAAAGATGCCTCGGCCAATCCCATGTGTGGGTGGGGCTCAGCAAGTTATTTTTTAATGTCTCTGTTGATACTCATGTGTAGCCAGGGTGAAGAATGACCAGACTAGATGTTTTCTAAGGGCTCTTCCAACTCTGATTTTGTGAAAACAACTCCATAAAATATTTTTGTGCATAAAAATTATATTTTACTTGCAAGCACTTTTTTTTTTAATTTAAGGTGTTTTTGATGTATTTAGTCATCCCACTTAAGTTGTTCGTTCATTTGTCCATTTGTCCATTCGTTCATTCATTCAGTGTTTATGAGCCTGCTTTGTGTCAGACACAGCTTGCACTGGGGTCAAAGGTGGCGAGGCAGCCTGTTGTTTCAATTGGTGACCAGCCTGGCCTAGTTTTCCTTTGAGTTTGGTTTATCATATCCCCGATGCAGCAAAACTAAGTATGTCTCAACAAATGAACAACGGTGAATTTTAAAATGAGGAACATTTTTGAAGTCTGGAGAGATGAAAAATAATATATGAAAAAATATGCATCCATCTGATGAGGCAACTTGAAATAAGATTATTTTGAAGGTCTTTACTGATTTTGTGATGGATTCTGACGACTCATCGGATGCATGCTGTTTCTGAGGAAAGGTGAGCTCTCACTCAGAGAGCACCTGCTTCCCATTTGTTACTTCTTAACACTCTGACTTCAGATAGCCCTTTAGCCTCCTTGACTCTTCTTCTCGTTGTCTCATCCGAAAAATGAGGAGAGTCTAAGGCCCTTTCTAGCACCAGAAAAACTGTATACCCTTAAAAAGTAGGTAAAGGAGAAATGTGAATAAGGCCTGTGGATGGTACCTATGTCAGTTTCCTGCTTCTGTCCTCTACTTCCGTGAGATGTTACCGTG